GGAGGAGGAGGAGGAGGAGGAGGAGGAAGAGAAGAACTAGTCCCGGCTGCCTGGGCGGGCTCCTGGGCCCAGAGCTTGGCTGGCACGCGGGAGAGGAGCGGACTGCCTGACCTGGCGGACCTGGACACCTCTGGTTTTCCGCTCGCCGCGGCCTGCCGGGAGGCGCTGGCTGGCTGCCGGGTCCGGACCCCGCCGAGGGGGAGGAGGAGGAGGAGGAGGAGGAGGAGGAGGAGGAGGAGGAGGAGGAGGAGGAGGAGGAGGACGCTGCGCCGCTGCCGCCCCGGCGGGAGCTCGCACGGGCGCCCCGGGAGAAAACCAAGAAATTGCTCACGCGTACCCTCGACAAAACGAACTACAAAGCCTTGCTGAGCAACCTGGGCCGCGAGGGCCGGGCGCGACTCCGCTCTTGCGGCGGTGCTCACGCGGCTGGCTGGCAGCTGGCGAACGGCGGGCCCGGGCAGCGCCTGGAGGACGACGCCTACCTGGACACGGCGCGCGCGCTGCTGGGCCAGGACCTGGCGCCGCCCAACAGCCGCTGCCAAAACCGCCCGCGGACGGACGGGCGCGCTGGGCAGCCCTGCGGCCAGCCCCTCTGCCGCAAGGGGCACCACGCCTTCCGCTGCGCCTGCGGCGGGGGCACGAAAGCGCGCAACCGGGACGTCGAAGACGTCTGGGAGGGCATTCACGCTGAGTGCGGCTTCCAGACAGCGCGCCAGGTCCACGCCCCGGCCTGGGACCGCTGGCACTGGACGCGCACGGCGCCCGGCTGCGCGGCGCGCGGCCGCGCCGACGCCCCGCCTGCGGGGCCTTGACAGGCCTGCGGGGCCGCACTGGAGACTCGCCGCGAAGAGGCCCTGGTCGACCTGCGGGCGCAGCGGGCCGGGTGCCCGCAGCTGCCAGCGGATGTCATTGTCCGCTACAGTGCGCCGCGGCGGCGGCGGGCGCGGACGGCGCCGTGGCGCGGGAGGGGGAAAGCGACAAGAGAGCTCGCTACCCCACCAGCCGCGCGCCGTGGCGGGCGCCGCCGCTCTCTCTGGAGACCGCCGGGCGGCACGGGCCGGCAGCGCTGAAACACCTGCGCTGGCTGTCGCGCGGGCGGGCCCAACTGCTGGGCGACGGGCCGGAGGCGGACGCCGCCGCCAGCGCGCTCGCCGCTCGCTGGGGCGCGGAGCTCAGCACGGCGCTGCACCGCGCCACAGCGCGCCAACTCCGCACCGCGCTCGGGAGCGAGGCCGCGCGGGCCTCGGCCGCGGCGCTGGCGGAGGAGCTGGCACGCTAGGCGCGCCGGCGGGGGCACCCCGGGGCGGGGTCGCGGTGCTCCGGCCCATCGTCGCGGTCTCGGAGGTGCACAGCGCGGGCGCACGCGGGCGTCGAGACAGACCCGCCGCCTGCGCAGGAGGAAAAGAAGAAGAAGGAGGAAGAGGAGGCGGAGGAGGAGGACGAGGAGTTGGAGGACGAGGAGGAGGAGGAGGAGGAGGAGGAGAAGGAGGAGGAGGAGGAGGAGGAGGGAGGAGGCGGAGGAGGAGGAGGAGGAGGAGGGGAGGAGGAGGAGTAAGAGGACTAGACTAGACTAGACTCGGCTGTGCGCCGTGGGTCTGGAGATCCCCACTCCCTCGAGCAGCGATGCCTTCACAGGGCGCTCGGGGGAACCTGTGACAGGGCGTGGCTCTCGAACAAGCAACGAGGTCAGGGTAACGCACATCACGCAGCCCTGAACTCGACTGAGGTTTCGGGACGGGTCGCAAAGAACGAAAGCACGCGGGCGGGGGGGGGGGGGGGGGACCCTCGGGCCCCGCAGGGGCCGAAGCTTGCGGCGCCGGGTGCGCCAGGCAGGCCCCTGGAGCGCCCGAAGACTCCAAATCCGGACGAACCTGCCAGGGAAGCAGAGAAGCGTTAATGTCGCGGGAGCAGACGGACCGAGAGCAGGAGGAGAGGCCCCGAAAGCATCCCACCACCCGCACACAGACCCGCCAGAACCCGCGAAACCAACGGCGAGCGAGGGCAAAGGAGAGGGGGGAGGGGCAGGTTGCGGTCAGCGGACGGTGCCAGCCGCTCGATGCACTAAACCTCGAGAGCACGACTCGCAAGAACAAAGGGAGAGGCTTCCGTTCGGAAGGCCGAGCGGTGATGCGGCTCAGGTCGCAGACGCGAAGACAGCGAAATTGGCAAAACATGCCGTGAGCGTGCAGTAGAGGTTCAGACATCACCAACCATATCACGCAACAAAAGACTCATCAGCACAGAGACGCCCATGGACCAATGAACAAGATATGTAGACATGGAGCGAACGGATAGCAAGGAGTTCCGCTCCGTTCAGAGGTCATGGAAGCGTTCCTTGGCGGCAATAGGCTGTCGAAGTGCGGCAAGCCGCTGTTCCCAAGATGTGGTCACCGCTGCTTGCTCCCTGCGCTAGTCCCCTTCTTCGTACGATCCAGTAACTTCTGGGCCATTTGCTCGAGGTGGCCCACAGGCGCCGATCCGAGCTTCAGACGTCCGCCCAGTTGCGTCGAGATCCCGATCGCGGCCTGCTCGAGGAGCAACTTCGTCAGGTCTGATCCCTCGATCTGGAATCCCTCCGCACTGCTGAACTGGGGCATCATAAACTTCTCGTTGCAGCATCGCCGAACACGGAAGTGCCGAATGGCCAGGGGCTGGTCTTCCAGCGATGCTACGGAGAGGAACTTCGTGTAGAATGCTGCCGCAGCCTCGTAAGTTCCCAACAATCCGTCGGCCTCCTCGCTGTCCAACATGGCCTTGAACGCGGCGCGCCCAATATATATATATATATATATATATATACACGCGGGGGTCCGAGCTTCGCCTTGAGCTCCTGAACTGCAGCCGCCTCGGCGCAGGACTTGCCCGCCGCCTTCGCGGCGTCGACGATGCAGCAGTCGACTGGGAGCACGAGCGACATCCACTCGGACGCCGTCAAGTCCAGTTGCATTTGCGCGTGCTGGCACGCCATCTTGAGGAGCTAGGAAAGAGCACTTGACATGTCTTTGCCCCGCAGGGCACCCTCGACCTTGGCCAGGTCTCCGTCGGCGCCGTCTGCCATTTGGCCGAGCTTCTTCTTTTTGGTTTGGCACCTCTTCCCCCGAGGCGGCGGCCCCCTCCCTGCGTCCTTTGGCCCTGGCCAACAAAGATCCCAGGCCCACCTCCATCTCGCGAACGAGGGCGCAAGTGGGAACGAGACAGCACTGGAGGCGGAAGATTGCACTGAGATCGAATGCGCCCTTGCAGGCCCAGCAGATCCTGAGCCTCGAAGGCGCAGACGGGGCAAGTGAGCGCGGGGGGAAAATGACGTCGCATGAGAGATAAGTACTTCCGTCCACCGAACAGACGTTCCTCCGATGGGATCTCACGACGCGTCTCTGCGCTGTCTCCCTAGACCCCAAGACCTGCAGGCAACGGAAGAATGAGTTGGCCACTGTCATCAGGCTCGCTTCGTTCCTAACGCGGTGGGCCCTGCCCGCGTGGAGCAGCAACTGTTTCGAGGATGCGAACCCCTCCCCGCACGCGGAGCCGTCGATCGTCGTCAAGTGGCAGATGTAGTCGTTCTCGTCGTCGCCCTCCCCCCCCCCCCTCACCACCTCGAAACTCCTGGGCGAACCCTGGAGGAGGAACGGCGCGAGGAAAAAGCCTGCGCCCTAAGGACCGCGAAATCGAGATCGACCCAGCTCGCGAACTCGTCGTCATAAAAAAAGCCGAAGGAGTGGGTATCCCGAGGTGACGAGTTCCTGGAATGCCTCCGATACCCCGCGAGCGTGTCTCAGACCCTCCAGCAGTTGGACGGCCCAAGGGTTCGCCTCCGAATTCAACTCCCAGGAGGTCGAGATCACGCGTTGCGTACCCAAACATCCCAAGAAACTCGCGCGCACTTGTCTGCGGGCCTCGGGGCACCGACGCCAGTCCTGATACCACTTGAGACGGCGTACTCGTAGTTCGGAGGCGCACGATAGAATCCTCCAGCGGGCAGCCAGGCGGGCCGAAGACCAGCGACGACAAGCGCCATCGTCTAGACAGTCCAACCCCTGAGACCCCAGACCTCGTCGCATCGATTGCAACAGTATTTTGTCGGCATCCTCACAAAAAGACGCATCGGGACCACGGGCTTCCAGTCCTGACAGCTGGGCGGCTTGTACAAAGGCAAATACAGACGTACGTGTAACACTCAAGACAGCGGGGTGCCGAAGAAAATGCGATACCATCCTCAGACCAGTCCGACCAGCTTGAAGTCGTTTCTGCTTCTCGACATTGAGGGGCCCCGCCGCCGTCATCCAGCCGCCCAAGATACGCATGAAGCGCCGCGCTTTCCCAGGGGCCTCGAGAACCCCGCTGCGCGGAAAGCGCTTCTGAGAGACCGGGCCAGGGCCGACGAGGGCCACCACCGAGATTCTTTTTTTCGGGTTGAGCGAGACGCCAATCTCGCCCATCGTCTCTTGGAGCAGCTCGCTGCTCGCCATTGCCTGCGCCAGCAGCGCGCGAGCGTCGCAGCCCCCCCTGAAGGGGGGCGGAGTCCGACCGGCGATGACCAGCTTCGAAATGTCATCGGCGAACAGCGAGATGCCCGCGTCGGGGCCCAGCTCGTTTGGCTCCAACGCCGCAGCGCCAGCCTGGGAAGGCACGTGCTCCCTGGCCGCGCAGAAGGGCCCCAGGCCCCTCTGATAGTAGAAATGGAAACCACGCGCGGCGTTTGGATGGCCCATCAGGCCTCCAGAAGTCGAACGACTCGTAATCGCGGCGTTGCCCGTCGCAATCTGGGCGGCACTCACTGTCGTGAATTGAATATGAAAACGGACGTCCTCAGGTAAATAAAGCAATGACAAGGTACCCAGGATCACGTCGCGAGACACGCTCGAGAAAGCATTTGTCGCATCCTCGTTGATGATGACGTGGGAGAGGCCAATCTTCTGCAATCTCCAGGAAGTACAGGCGCGGGTTGCGATGGCATCCTCCCGTCTGCGTTTCTTGGCAAAGCCGTGGCACACATAAGGCAA